CCTGTGCCCTGTGAGGTGCCCGCCGGCTGCTCCTTCTAACCCGGTAGAAGGCGATAACACAGTGTCTTGGTGGCCCTTTAAAGAGAGAAGAGAAGAAAAAACCCCACTTCCTCACTTAATCCCCCATATGGGCGGTGGAAATACACAGAAAGCGCGTTTCGTTAAAAGCCTGATTTATGGCGCCCGGCGAAGAGACCCCGGGAAGGGGGGCTGTGGACACGCAGCTCACACGCCCGCGCCGGAGGGTCCGTGTGGGAAGGCGCATGTTAGTGTGTGTTAGCGTGTCAGCGTTGTTGTTTATAAATAACGTAGTTGCCACCATCAAGGGCATCTTCTCAATGAGATAAACAGGAAGCCCTGGAGTTGACCGAGGGCGTCTGACAGGAAGAGGTGCTTTGGGGCCAAGAAGGAAAAAAGTGATCACCCCACGGTGCCAGATCCGTCTCCGGGTTCGGGGATTTCTCCAGAGAAGGAGGCCTGGCGACGACATGTGAACGGCCTGGAGAAGACATGCTCTGCCCCCCCTCAGCTCCCAATTCTCCTCCAACAGGGCTCAGCTTTAAAAAAATTGTTAAGCCTCATCGGAGGGTATTTCTCCATTGATTTTTAGAGAGTAGAGGGGAGAGGGGGGGAGAGACATCGATGTGAGGACACACGGATTGGTTGCCCCCTGCACGCCCCCCGACCTGGGTCAGGGATCGAGCCTGCAGCCAGGTGTGCCCCTGGCGGGAATGGACCCTGGGCTCTTCCGTCCACAGTCCGGCGCTCTGTCCACTGCGCCAGGCGGGCCGGGCCCTCCTGCAACGGCACTAAAGCTCCAGGAAGGCCAGCCTCCTGTGGGAGGGGCCGGTTCCGCCTGGGGCACTTGGTCAGCCGTTCGCTCTCCTGCCCCCTCTTTGCTCCTTGCTTTGGACGGGGCTGGTGGGCACAGCGGGAGGCAGCTGACCTGGGCAGGGGTGCCGGGGGCAGGACGAGGTGGGCGGGGAGCCGCTCTGCCCGGTCACGTTGAACCCCATGGTCCCACTGTCTTGGCCAAAGTCTTGGTCGTGGCTGGCGGTGGGGGGGAGGCGGGGGGCGGACACGATTGGACCAGGCAGCCCCTGATTGGACCGCAGTGTGTGTGGTCCCAGAGGGGGCCTTTAGGGGGCCGTGCACGGACCCTCATGGAGCCCAGCTCGGGGTGAGGGTCAGGGAGACGCCTCCGCGAAGCCGTGCGCTCCCAGGAAGGCGAGGGGCCTTCCCAGGTGATTGTGGGTAAAGGTGTGTTTCTCTTTCTCTTGACTCTTCGTCCCACATCTTCAAGGCTCTGGTTTCTGAAACCGAAGTTGACAAGAGGCCCTCGATTTTCCCGGATGGAAGGCCTGGGCGTTCCCAGGACT